GGATGGGGATGGAGGTGGAGGAGGAGGTGAGGGTGGAGGTGGCGGAGGTGGACATTGGCTTTGACAGTTGTTAGGAGCACAATAATCTGATGTGGTCCCACACCAACCACCGTTACTACAACACTGTCCAGTACCAGTAGGACATGATTTACCATTAGCTTGCCATCCGCATCGTCCCTCTGGGTATGGATCTGGACATTGCATCTGACAATATCCAGGAGAACAATACTCGGATGTGGTTCCACACCAACCCCATATACTACAACACTCTCCTGTTTTAATACATTTCCCGCCACCCTTTTTCAATCCACATTGGGGGTATGGAAGTGGGGATGGGGATGGGGGTGATGCATTATTAATACCTTGAAATACTTCAAGGCCAATGGTTTCATTGATTGGGAGATGAAAGGGAAGAGATAGCTCATTGGCTGAGACCACCTCAAGGAGGAACAAAGTCAGTAGAGCTAAAACGCTAATTGCCGTCTCTTTCATTTTGTTATAAACGTAGGATATTTAATGAAGATGAATTAATTGGTTAAATGATCAAGTATTTATGGCAAAATTATCAGGGAACAATCACTATATTTGATAGCGATTAATAGCAGCATATCATATGTCAATTTAAAGTTTGGCTGGACTCATCATAATTACCGTATTTGTAATTCACATCAATACTTAATACTTAGTACTTATGTTTCTTTCAATAGAAAGGACAATAATAAATTGCTCTTATGATTTATTTATTTTTTGCTAAAAGCACATTATAACGCATAGAAGCAAACATCAAAGAGTAATACGAGTTTTCCTCAGCTTACCTTGGAACTTGATTGTATGTTCAAAAAGTTTGTTAGGTTCAAAATACTATTCCCTCCGTCCATTTTTTACTTTATCGTCGTAAAAAAGTTTGTTAGGCTCAAAAGATAACATTTATTTGCTTCGGTTGTTAAAGAGGAGTCATATATAGTATATAACTTCATGAATGAACTCACACCAGAAAGTAATCTTTATTCTTTTTAATCAATACATACTTTTTGGCCATTAATTAAAAATATATGGGATAATTCTATTTTAATTAACAAAAGGAGATTAAGAAAAAACAATTACTTTCCACTTTTATATTAGTTAAAGAGATTTTAAAAGAAAATTTTAATAAGAAAAAGATTCTTCTTAAAAAATATTTATTAAAAAATTAATGTGTTTCGAAAGGAAAATAACAATATTTTTATTAGGAAAAGGGACATCTTTTACCCCAAAAATAATAAGGGGAATTTTTGGACCAAATTATTAACGACAAATTTATTTTTGGATCAAAGTTTTGACATTAGAAACATTCTAGGACCAAACTATTAATAGAGGATATTTATTTTTTTCAATCTTGCATAATGTAAGGATATTTTGATTCTTTTTAATATAAAACGACAATAAATAAAACAAAAATAAGAGAAAAAATAACACTAAAACTTCTCCTGTTCGGGATCCCTATTTTCTCAAAGAAAAAAACGTATATTCTATCAATCTTAGAGAGAATTTCTATTCTACACGGAAAAAGCGTAATAAAGATATATGGCCTAGCATGAAATGTGAATTACATTTGTTACCTATGAATTTAATAAGGAAAAACAAGAGAAAAAAAGTATAATATCAGGTTACACTTCTTTTTAATTTTGTTCGATTATGACTCATCATAAATAAAAAAATAAAAAATAAAAAAGTAGTAACTTTGAGAAAAAGGCTTAAATATATTCTTTGGTTAATGAGTGGAAAGTGGTTGCCGTTGTCATTAAAAAGATTGATCGTCGTTGTTTCACATATAATAATTTCAGTCATAAGACAAATATTGGATTGCCATTGCGTTTTCTGGACTAAAATATTGATATGATTTGGGACATCTTCAAAACAAATTATTAATGAAGGAATTTTTTCTCAATTCACATAGTATAAAGAATATTTTAATCATTTTCATTAATATATATATAACAAGCCAATAAGTGAAACAGAAAAATGAAAAAATGAACCAAAATTAATAAAATATATATGGCCTAGCATGAAATGTGAACCTACCTGTCACGACCCAAAAATGGACGTGATGGCACTTGTCTTATCCCACCAAGACAAGTCAGCCTAAAACTCAACCATTACAATAAAATGCGGAAATTTTTATAATAAACTCAAATATACCCCCAAAATCTGGTTGTCACGTGTACAAGCCTCTAAAGTATTACAATTGAATCAAAAGAAAAATACAAGTCTCATATGACATTGTTTCTAGAGTAGAACAAGATCATAAACAGGAGAAAGAAGGATCGCTAAGAAGACAAACAACTACCTCACAAATCTCCCAAAAGCCTCGAAAAAGAAGAGAATAACAAGTACCACAAAAATCCAGGCTCGTAACCTACAAAAATTTGTAAAAGCAAGGGGTGAGTACCAAACCACACGGTACTCAGCAAGTAAACCTCTAAACACGAGCTAAGGGGATAGAATACAAGTACTCCTTACACCCCAACCGAACCTTCCCAACTACAATCTATATAAAACCAGCCCAACCTAACAGTTCACAATTTACAAGCACATATCTCAACAACAACATTCTAACAATTATATATTCTCAACAACAAGCTCAATATTCATCAATTACTACCTCTACAACTACAACTTGCTTAGTACCAGCCCAACATAGCAGTTCACAGTTTACAAAGCACATAGCTCAACACAACACTCTAACAATTTCATATCCGCAACAACAACAATAGTTTCATATCCTCAACAACAACACTCTAACAATTGCATATCTTCAACAACAAGCTCAATATACATCAGTCACAAGTTCCATAGAAAGGCACTCACAAGATCAGCAACACACAAGATCAAGTTCACCAATAATAAAGAAGTGCAATGCAATGAAATGCAATGTCAAGTATAGTGATGCATGTCTGACCTAATGATACACACCCGCTGTCTCTCAGTCCAGGACCCATGGGGGACATATATGTCCATGCATCCATCATGGCGTACAATACGACCCTCGATAATAGTAACCATCGCGACGCGTGATACGTCCCTCGAAATATAGTATCCGTCGCGGCGCGCGACACATCCCTCGAAATATAGTATCCATC